TGAAGGTTCTGGAGACTGCGCGGTTGACGAATCAGGCGGCGAAATTGTTGTTGAAGGTTCTGGAGACTGCGCGGTCGAGGATTCAGGGGGTGAAATTGTAGTTGACGGTTCTGGAGASTGCGCAGTGGAAGACTCAGGGGGTGAAACTGTGGTTGAAGGTTCTGGAGACTGCGCAGTGGAAAACTCAGGGGGTGAAACTGTGGTTGAAGATTCTGGAGACTGTGTGATAGTAGAAGCAGGTGGTAAAACTGTAGTCGATCCAGTAGGTTTACCTGTTGTCGATACTGTAGTAGGTTCTGGAGTTGTTGACGATACACACGATGGCTGTAATAAAAGACAACAAATGAAAATATGTAAACACAAGAAATTTCAATCAAATTTACGGAAGATGTATCGCGGGGTGAGCAAAATGTGCCATCCACATTGCAGTAAAAGCCATCATCACATGATCGAATGGCGTTTGGATCGACAAAGCCGAGATTGTAACAGACTCCATAGCTAAATTCATCCATGCAGGCATAGACACCATCGGTCAGCGAACAATCTGAACAGGTGGACACAGCTGCAGTTGAAGAAGAAGTTTCACATGATGGCTGCAACAGAACTATGTTAAAATGTTAAATAATAAAGATTTGAGCTAAACTAACGGTAGAGGATTCCTGGGGAGAACAAAACGAGCCGTCAACATTGCAGTAATAGCCATCTCCACATGATCGAATTGTGTTAGTATCAACAGCTCCAAGATTGAAACAGATGCCGTAAGAAAACTCATCCACACATGCATATACTCCGTCGGTCAATGAACAATCCGAGCACGTTTGACAATGCAACGTTGGAAATGTTGCAAAGAACATTAATAGCTGTAACAATTTAAAGGTTAAAAATAAAATAATAACCACATGGTGTCTTTACTTACGAGTAAATTTTGTAAATACGACTTCATCTTGAGACTTTCGTTGGTATGTCTGCTCAGTAAGGAGACCGAAATTGCTTTGATATGCCTTAATTCCGAATCGCATTTTAATAATACGAGCAATTATGATTTACGTGAAGACCTTGTGCACAGATTAAAAAAGTAATAAAGATTGCTGAAGGTACATAAATTCAAATTCTTCAGAACCTTTGTCACAATTTGAATGTTTGGCATTGATGCCAAAACTAAGTAAGACAGTCGTATAAGAGTAAGTTTTTTATATATATCTAATTAAGATAGTTGCCAATATAAGAAGCGAAAGGCACATTTGCTGCTGTTAATTTAGTCATATGAAAATATGATTATCTAGCTTTTATAACTGTTCTCCTTCGTTTTCTTCGGTGTGTTTATCTTCCAGCCAACTGCGTGCCATACGCAATGAGGGCAATCGAAATCGCCATTCATCACAGCAGTGTGTGTAGACGTGCTCGCCCAACTGTAGCAGCTCCTTGGAAAAATCCCGTTCATCCTCTTTCCATGGACGCTCTGCGCCGCCGAACATTTCCATGCGCACGAGTGCAGCCATTGTTGCACCCAGATACTTTTTAATGCCGTTGTACAGCTGAGACTTGGTCAATTGTGGAGCCACAGAGGTGGAAGAGGAGCTCTTTAATACTTCAGCTTGAGCTTCTAGTCTCTCGATTGTTTGCTTTAAATCGGCATTCTCTTTAGAGAGTTGCTCAAAGTTTGTTCTCAATTGCTCATATTTAAGCTGATAGTCTTCGTGCATCTCTTCTGTTACATTTGCGTCTGTTAGAGGCCCCATATCAATGTCTTTTCCACTCAGTGGCTGTTCTTTACCAGTGTCAACGATTATAGATGATTCAGCTGTATTCCCTTGCTCATGCCCAAGTTTTTGTCTTTTATTTGGCTCGAGGATCAGGGGCTTGGGTGGCGTTCGTCTTCTCGCTACGTATTTTCGTCCAAATCGTGCGTCATCGGTGAAGCCGAGTGGACATTCGAAATTTGGGGGAGGTATTAAATGCTCCAATGTGGGCATGGAAAGCTTCACCATTGTTGCCTCACCATTCTCGTCGAGGTGCTCCATGTCCCAGGCCAGATCCTTACTGACGCGCACCAAAGTGGGCGTCTGATTTGGTATTAGTCGATCTAATTTATAGTTCATAAAGCATTCGTAGCGAAAGTGACGCGCACAAACAGCGCGATTGGATAATTTCTCCTTTGCAACATTTAAAATGTCAGCGTTGCCGCAATTCTTAAGCCAAGTTTCCAGGCGAACTGGATCACGAACTGGCAGTTTGAAAAAATGCATTTTGGGATTGCGTTGTGTTGAGACTTGGCAGTCACGAAATACGCATCGCGTGCCACCCATTTTATCATAAGATTCTCTAATTTGCTCTTATTATTTTAAACACAACATAAACAAAATGCTATTAAGTTTGGTACTAAATTATAGGCTAACGCAATCTGGTCACACTTTTTGTTTTTAACAAGTTTGGTCACCCAAAATCACGGCAAGTCAAAAAATATACTGAAAAGTTCAAATTTGATTAAAATTATGACATTATGAAAATACTGAAGAAAAATGAAAGGTTGTTTATTTATTTATACTACCCAAATTATTATTATTGAACTAAATACTCAATAGTGATGTCAAAATAAACAATAAAAGTATTTAATAATAACATTAACATGGTTCAATATTAATGGAATATAAATTTATTTGAACATAGTTTCTAGAACATTACAGAAACATCGACTCACATCAATGTCAATTGGCTCAATGCAACACTGCGTTGAAAACCGGAAGAGGTAGCCCTGACGACTAGATGTTTCTCGAAAAATCTAGAAGCTTCGTAGAATTTTGTTCAACCCCTATAAAAGCAGTAGGAAGCAGACGCCGGCTTGTCAGTATTGAAACAAAATTCGTGCGGTGAGCATAAAAAGAGTCTGCCCTGAGGCAAAGCAAAAACAACAAAAAATAAGAAAATTTTATTTTCTGCGCTAAAAGTGAAAAAGTATATCATATTTGAAGTTAGTTCAGTGAAATAAAATAATACAAGGTAAGCAAATTTAATATAGAATATATTTCTATTGCACAAAAAGGGGGAAGCTGTGCCAAAACCAATTGAATTTCGGTTAATGAATTAAAGCGAAAGTATGTGTGTATGTGCAGCGGAAAAACTCTTGACACGATTAATGCTGTATTGGTTGCAGAAGGGTCTAGAAATTGTGACCAACTAACTACATTTTCATTTATAATTAGAGAAATGTTCAAGAGCAGCAAATTTCGACTTGCTTACCAGCAAGACAATCAAATTCTATGAGCACGCTTTTAAGTTGAGTCACTGTCGCAAAATATGCCGGCAATGTAAAATTGCCGAAACTTCTGGAGACAGTCTACTAGAGAATACGTCAGTTATATATTAATATGTAAAAATCCATTTAAGACGTCCATTTAAATGCAAGTAATGATGCTTACGATTAAGCACATTTTATAATTGCACGTGTTTGCAAATTTTTCTTTCATTCTCGAAAGATATTTGTGTATGTATATGTATGACCCAGAATTGTTCTAGAAAGCGTCTTCTTGAAAAAGATGTAATGCAAATATATATATANNNTGCAAATTAGTTGTATGTGCTTAACCCACTTGCAGCTTTTGAATTGCAAACTGAAAAAAAAAATCATGTTTGAAAATATATATATATATACATGGCATACATACATATGTATGTGTATTGTTATATTTAAGGGAGTTTTTCTAGAACATTTCGACAATTTTCTAAGTTGGCAAGACTGACGCTTCTCGAATTTACTAATGTGCATGCATGCATGCATACATAGGTGTACATTGCTTATGTACACGCTTGTCATCAACGGAGTGAGGGAGCAAGCAACTGAGACGCTCTCTTGGGGGTAGAATAAGTGACCGGGAAATATTAAATGAAAAGTAAAATAAATGTTTTTCAGAGGTGGCATATTTTAAATTAAATTTTGTTTTCTATTGCAGATGCCTGAAGAAGCGGAGACTTTTGCATTCCAGGCTGAGATTGCTCAGCTTATGTCGTTGATCATTAACACATTCTACTCAAACAAAGAAATCTTCTTGCGTGAGTTGATTTCCAATGCGTCTGATGCACTCGACAAGATCCGCTATGAATCGCTGACGGATCCCAGCAAACTTGACTCCGGCAAGGAGCTATACATCAAGCTCATACCAAACAAGACTGCTGGTACACTGACCATCATTGATACCGGTATTGGTATGACTAAGTCTGATTTGGTCAACAACTTGGGCACAATTGCCAAGTCGGGCACTAAGGCATTCATGGAGGCATTGCAGGCTGGTGCCGACATTTCCATGATTGGCCAGTTTGGTGTTGGCTTCTATTCGGCATATCTGGTGGCTGATAAGGTGACAGTGACCTCGAAGAACAATGATGATGAACAGTACATCTGGGAATCGTCTGCCGGTGGCTCCTTCACCGTTCGCGCTGATAACTCCGAGCCATTGGGCCGTGGTACCAAGATTGTGCTGTACATCAAGGAGGATCAGACCGACTACCTTGAGGAAGCCAAGATCAAGGAGATTGTCAACAAGCACTCCCAGTTCATTGGCTACCCCATTAAATTGCTGGTAGAGAAGGAGCGTGAGAAGGAGGTCAGCGATGATGAGGCTGATGATGAGAAGAAGGAGGGTGATGAGAAGAAGGATATGGATACTGATGAGCCCAAGATTGAGGATGTTGGCGAGGATGAAGATGCCGACAAGAAAGAGAAGGATGGCAAGAAGAAGAAGACCATCAAGGAGAAGTACACCGAAGACGAGGAGCTGAACAAGACAAAGCCCATCTGGACACGCAATCCCGATGATATTTCCCAGGAGGAATACGGCGAGTTCTACAAGTCGTTGACCAACGATTGGGAGGATCATTTGGCTGTTAAGCACTTCTCTGTTGAGGGTCAGTTGGAGTTCCGTGCTCTGCTATTCATTCCACGCCGCACACCTTTCGATCTGTTCGAGAACCAGAAGAAGCGCAACAACATTAAGCTCTACGTGCGCCGTGTCTTCATCATGGACAACTGTGAAGATCTGATTCCCGAGTACTTGAACTTCATCAAGGGTGTGGTTGACTCCGAGGATTTGCCACTCAATATTTCTCGTGAGATGTTGCAGCAAAACAAGGTGCTGAAAGTTATCCGTAAAAATCTAGTCAAGAAGACCATGGAGCTGATTGAGGAGCTTACAGAGGACAAGGAGAACTACAAGAAGTTCTACGACCAGTTCAGCAAGAACTTGAAGTTGGGTGTCCATGAGGACAGCAACAACCGCGCCAAGTTGGCCGATTTCTTGCGCTTCCATACTTCCGCCTCCGGCGATGATTTCTGTTCATTGGCCGACTACGTGTCGAGGATGAAGGAGAACCAGAAGCACATCTACTTCATCACTGGCGAGTCCAAGGATCAGGTCAGCAACTCGGCCTTCGTTGAGCGTGTCAAGGCTCGTGGCTTCGAAGTGGTCTACATGACTGAACCCATTGATGAATACGTCATCCAGCACCTGAAGGAATACAAGGGCAAACAGCTCGTCTCCGTTACCAAGGAGGGTCTGGAGTTGCCCGAGGATGAGGCTGAAAAGAAGAAGCGCGAGGAGGATAAGGCCAAATTCGAGAGCTTGTGCAAGTTGATGAAATCAATCTTGGACAACAAAGTGGAGAAGGTTGTCGTGTCCAACCGTCTGGTCGATTCACCTTGCTGCATTGTTACTTCGCAGTTCGGTTGGTCCGCCAACATGGAGCGCATCATGAAGGCTCAGGCCTTGCGTGATACCTCGACCATGGGCTACATGGCCGGCAAGAAACACTTGGAAATCAATCCCGACCATCCCATTGTGGAGACCTTGCGTCAGAAGGCCGAGGCCGATAAGAATGACAAGGCCGTCAAGGATCTGGTCATTCTGCTGTTCGAGACATCACTTTTGTCATCTGGATTCTCGCTGGACAGCCCACAGGTGCATGCCAGCCGCATCTATCGCATGATCAAGCTGGGTCTTGGCATCGACGAGGATGAACCCATGACCACAGAGGATGCTCAAAGCGCTGGTGATGCCCCATCTCTGGTTGAGGACACCGAGGATGCATCCCACATGGAGGAGGTCGATTAAAAACAACCGTTCAACCAAAAACTACTCATCCACCCCCACCAGAACCATTTCTTCACACCATTTGATACAAAATTACTTAAGTTAAAAACATTTCATTTCCATTGTCGGAACCTCTTATGTTAGACTTGACAGCAGAGTTATTTAATGTTTCGTTGACATTTGTAATTTGTATTTACGTTGTGTCGCGTTATATGCGACAGTAATACGCTTAACTCATTCAAAAAAAAAATTCAAGAAATATGTAATAATAGGATTTACACATTCACTATGTAAGAGCAGTTGTCGTTAAGAAATTCCTAATTTAGAATCCAAGTAATTTATGTAATGAAGAAAAAAACACACACACACAAAGACTACATATGCGTTAGGTATTAAATGGAATATGTAATAAGATTGGATGATCGCATCGATAATAAAGCATAAAAAAGTATTTTTCTAGTCGTTTATTTACAAAGTGTGGTTATGATTCACATTCTTTTCGCAATGATTGTTCTATAGCCTCCACGGTGGTGACGCCTTTGCTAACGAGTATTATTTTATTGCGGGAACGGGAGCCCTTGTCGAGCGATACATCGCTCTTGCGAAGTCCCAACACTTTAGACAGGAATTTCACCAGTTCGGCATTGGCTTCTCCTTCGCTGGGGGGTGCTGCAATTTGTACGCCAACGCCTTCTAGTCCAATGTCTGTGATGCCATTCTGTTTGGCGCCAGGCTTGGCCAGAATTTTGATAGCAATGTTGCCACTCTTGTCCAGTGTGACCGGCGTATTGGAGACTGGTGGTGTGGTCGCCTCACCGGGCTTGCTCGTTGCTTTGCCTTTTCCCTTGTTCTTCGACATGATGTGTACGTAGACCGCTGTATGAATGCGTCGCATTAGGTTTCTTTAACTTTTACATAGATTTATAGATTCATTTTAAAAAGATTTTATGTTTTTGTTTCCTGCTAACACTTGCGGCCAAAGCAACTGTTTAACTGCTATGAGGTCCAAACACGCTACAATTGCATGACGCTGTTGGTTAATTTGTTTATTTATTTTTATTTGTAATCAAATCAAAAATTTCTTAATTGCTCGCATAAAAATCAGTTGCTTCTTCAATTTATCACATTTTACTTTATTATCGATTTAACTTATTGGACTTAAGATGTTTGACAAATATAATGCCGTTCATTCTATCGTAGCGTTTCGGGGACATTCGAGAGAAATCTACCAGGGCTACACAAACTATACAGCTTTCACATCAGTGTTTTGTTTGGTTTGTTTTACCGTAACAGTAAAGTGAAAACACAAGTTTAAGTTGTTTTAGGTAAAAAATTATCATATATTCATAATTGTATTTACTCATAGTTATTTTCTTCTAATCGTCCTCGTTGCCGAAAACAACATTTAAACTTGAACTATTTAAATAGCTGCAAAAGCATTTTAAAATAATGTTTTTGCAACTTGTTCATTCCACTTTAGCACAATCAGCATATATGTATATAAGAAATGTATAGGTGTGCGGGAATGCTTTTACAGACAGTTCGGGTTTAACGCTTAATTATATATAAAGTATACAAAATATGAACTTAAATTTTGCATGCACATAGAAATACATTTTTCATTAAAAATTGAGTTAACTAAAAAGCCTGGTTGTCGTTCGAGCTTTATCTCTACAGACGTTGCACATAATGTCGGGAAGGTTCTACTACGAAAGTTTTTGAAAGAAGACGTCAGAGTGGTTGTGTGTGTTCTGAGCTTAGCATAATATTATAAAATTTTGTATTTATATCTGTACAGGTTTACGCAGCTCGAATGGACTGAATAATTTGGAAAATTGCTGATCCGCACACGACAAAGATAAATAATGCCAAAAGCCAGGGACCAACCGGGTATTGTCCCTCTTTCGTTTTCTGAAAGAAACGAAAAACGAGAAACGGATTAGTAAAAAACATTAATCAGAAGATAGCTGAAGCAACAGCTAGGAAAATCTAGAAGCAGCGATAACTCGATTCAACTCTCACACACGCATACAAACACACATATCAGCACTGCAACAAAATCAATGACGGCGTGGCACTTTTTCCTATTGGATTTGTTTTTATGAGACCCATGCAGGTGTCATTATCTCTTGCTGTTCTTTTGCAGTTGAGGCAGTCATTAAATTTACAACTGCATCAAAAAGCAGAAAATTTAGTTCAAGATTTTAACACCTACCGAGGATTTGGGTACATTGCCACGCATTGTCACATACTTGCTGGCCTTTTCGTTGGCGACGCGCATTCTCTGTGGTGGGGCCATTTTATAGGTTTTTGTAGCGTTTTAACACTAGAATTTTAAAATGAAAAAAATACAATGTTAAGTTTTGACTACTATTAATTTACCAAGCGCACGCGAGCATTACCTGTGGTTAGAGCGAAAATAACAAAACGAATGTGAAAGTACGTAGTACGACACGTATAACAAAGCCGAAGACAGCTCACTGACAGTTCGTGCCAATCTGACAGCTAGGCTCAGGGATGCATATGCTAGTAATTATCGATGCTCGATATCGATTATAAGCTTACGTACAACTACAGCTGATTGAAAACTGCATTTTCTGGGGCGGCGTTTATTTACATTTAATACCGTAAAATTTGCTGGATTTTTTGTCCAAAACAGCTTTGTTGTACGCACAAATTGTTGTATTACGTGTGCCTAATGCGGCGAAGACATTGAATACGCAAAATTCACTCCCAGTTAACAACCAACGATAGGCCTTGAAACAGAGTTTGCCAGCAGTGTGCGGGGAAGCAAATTATATCTATTACACATACTAAACTATGACGATTGATGGCACAACTCTGCCTTCAGAGCTGCTCGTAATACCACAACCGCTAATAGGTTTCTGTGGATTGGATATCGCGAACCAAAGCGTTCACAAATCAATTTGGGATGCATTCAGCGGAACCCTTCAACGGAAGCCAGCGGATCGGGACAGGGATCGGGCTGCCGTGCAATATAAACTACTACCTCCCAACTATGAGTTTCCGGTTGCTAAGCCAAAGCGCGCTTCATACGAGTGGTACCATCCGAAAGGAATACTTAAGCGTAACTGGATGTTGAAGCATTTGCATGTATTGCCATCCGTGGTGGTGCTCTTCCAAGACATCGAATGGAACGACAGCCAATGGACAGAGAAGCAAGTGCAGTGTGCAGCTATTGTTCAGGGCCTTAAGAATGCTTTGCAAGAACGTAATACAAGGCTGTGCTTGGTGTTGCTCCAGAAATCAGCGCCACTGCCGGCAGGCGAGGATATGCTGGCAGCTGAGCGTGCCGCTAGTCTAACTACCGCGTGCGGAATTACGAGCAAAATGCTGTTCATATTGCCCCACACGGAGCATCTAATGGGATACACGATGCGCCTAGAGTCCGCGTTCTTGGATATGGCTCAGTCCTATTATGCACTCATGTCGAAACGTATACGTACTCATCGCGATCAGCTTTCTGCTGCCCATACAACACTCAAGATACGCCATCAATTTAAGCTGGGTTTTGTGGCTGAGATGCGTCAGGACTTTAGCACGGCACAAAAGTAAGTTAAAAATGCTTAAATACTAATATCCAGTCAATAACAAATACTGTGGTTATAGACACTATTTTCAGGCTTACGGTAACTTAGATGAAATACGGATCACAGATACTAATTGCATGGAGATCAAAACAATTGCTGGCTTTCTCAACTATAAAATGTGCCGGCTTATGTTTAAGTTAAAAACACCAAGGGATTCCATCAATCAGTTTATTATTCACGTTGATAAGTATAAAAACTGTTTGGGTTTCAAGGATTTAGCCTTTGAGCATCACGCCTGGCTAAGTACGCAGTAAGCTGGGCATATATATATTAGCTTAAGGATGAAGACATAATTTGCTATCCAAATCCTTTTGCAGACATTCAGTCTTCGCGGAGCTCTTCTGTGAGGCAATCAAGAATGGTTTGCCTGCGTTGCAGACGCAGCATCCAGGTATTTATTACCAGAAGGCCGCCGAATATGTGATAAAGCGACGTGAAGCCGCTCAACAGGCCAGTGCCACGCTCTTAGGATCGAGCACAACGAATGTGACGCCAAATCAGAGCTTGTACACCGAGTTCTTTGGTACACGTGCAATTAAGACGGGAGATCCTGTTGCCGAACAGCAGGCAAATGTGCAACTCGTGGAGCAGGAGCGCAACTTTAATCATTCATCGGCAATCATATCGCTTCTCAGTCAGGCAATGGCACAGTTTAAGATCTACAAGTGCTTGAGATTCCGTAAGAAACTGGCCATTGACATGGCCGAAGAGTATTTACGCAGTGGCGATCACGCCAAGGCATTAACGTAAGTGACTGCCTAATAGATTTATTAAAAGTTAAGCTTAATCCATGATCTGTTTCACTTTCAGTCTGTACTCTCTTATGTTGCCCGACTACCGTCAGGAGAAATGGACGACCATTTTTAGTGATGTGCTGCTAAAGACTCTACGCTGTGCGCTGCTCTCCGCCTCAGTGGCTGATTACATTTCTTGCAGCATTGAAGCACTGTCTCTGCGCCATCATGGTGAGCAGAAAGAGCGCGTACTGCTGCTAGAGAATCTTTGGCAAGTGTTTCAAAGTGTGCCGCCTATACCACAAACTCAAATGACGCCTGAAGTGCAAGCGCTGTGGAGTAACGCGCTGGCAAGCGTGAAATCACCGATTCAAATTGATTTAGATAAAGTCAGTGGTGTGCTGGAGCTCTGCGCTACATTCCAACAGGTTCAACTAAACAATAGCGATGTGCTGCAGCTAAATCTAATAGTGCGGTCAGTTAAAAAGATTATATATTCATACAAATATGCTTATTGTATTACCCATTTTTTTTCTCGCAGCGTTCTTACCGACGTGCCGTTGCGCATTCGCAGCTTTCAAGTTCTGCTTGCCGATGCCAGTAATCCTCAAATAAGCTACAAACTGGAAGCGCTAAAGTATTTATGCTTTCCCAGTCTGCTGCAGTTGCGTACCCATCAGCAGCCTCTCGAATCGGAGCACATAGAGCCAAAGACATTTGAGAAGAATATGCGATTAGAGCCTGGCTATTATTACCAGCTCATTTGCAGCACGGAGGCGCATCAGTTTAATGAGAATACACAACTGCGCATCGCGCGGCTGGAAGCGCTTATGGGCACCGAACAAATTGGCGCATTGCTCACGTGCAGCGCAAACTATGCACGCAAACCATTTCGGCATCACACGCGCAGTCGCGATCTGGATGATAATATGACGATAAACCCTATTTGCTATATTGCGCCCACGTAGGTCACAAAAACCGGAAGCCATAAGCATTTGTATGCAGCCTTCATTTAACGCTCCGTTGAACTTCCATTGCAGCTTCCATTTGAGTACTCAAACAAACCTTGGCCATGTATTGAGCGATACTCCGACCACGACAACAATGCTGGTCAATGAATACTATCCAGTGGTGACTACCATTAGCAATCCCTATAATGTTTATCTACAAAATGTGGGCGTGCACATTAGCGTTCCACAGGAGCTGCGCAATAGCGGTAAGTGCAACATGAATTAAATTATTGCGCAATTGTCTGATAAGTCGATATAGATTGGCATAGTTGGTGATTCGTTTGATCATTCACATTTATTGTTTAGTTTAATTTTTTTGGTTAGCCTATTTGCTTAAAGCCTTGTCGATAAAACTCCTAACACTTTTGACACTTGTATAAACGCCAGGATAGTTGCGTCTGCCACAGCCCATGCCCCAAGAGACAATGCCACACAGTTGATTCTGATAGACTGCCGGGCCACCAGAGTCGCCTTCACAGGCATCCTTAATGCCCGGCAGTGAGGCGCAGAACATGGTTGAGCTGATGGTGCCTCGCATTTTGTATTGGCTGATGCAGCTCTTCCGTGAGACTAGTGGCACGTCCACGCTGCGGACGTGCTGGGAGACTCGTTTACTGCCCTCGGTCGTTTTACCCCAGCCGGAGACCTTTATCAGTTCACCTGGTTGCCAGCTGGAGTTGCATAATGGAATGGTCGCAATGTTGTTGCCTTCCAGCGGTGATTTCAGCTTTAGCACAGCCACATCCGAGTGCAGGGTGCGTGTATTAAAGGCTTTGGGTGTAAAAACTTTGGCCACGCTCCTTCGCACACCTGTTGCATCCGTCAACAGTGTCGCACCGCCCACCACTTGTAGCCTGCTCGCAGACACGCCTTTTACACAGTGTGCTGCCGTCACCACATGAGTGGGCGTAACCAAAGCGCCGCCACAAATGAAATTGCCGGAAATGCGCAGATTGATCAGGTAGGGCACACTCCTTATATCCACCGGTATGCCGCCCACAATGCGTGCGCCAACATCATTGGCGGCCTTGCCAGTGGCTATCCGAAGCAGGAACATGGGCAGGAGCAGGAACAGCAGTGGCAGTGGCAGTGGCAGCCGCAGCGACAGCAGTCGCATTGGTTTCTCAGCAAGAACAGACGTCTACGCTCATAGCGTAAATATTTGCCAGCAGATCACTTGTTCAAATAGAGTCGAAAGAGTTAAGAGCTGAGCACTAACTGTTTCCAGATCCGAGTCGGCTCGCGCGTTTGTTTGCATGCCATTTTATATACGGGCGCTTTTTGAGGAAATATAATTGTAACATTGTTTTATTGTTCAAATAATAATTATTTTTAATAAACCATTTTGTTGTTCTATCATGCGCAGCCCATCGAAAGTGTAACAAAGCCATTAAATATCTAGCCAGATAAACGTATCTAAATGGGTTTCATATATTTTTGAATGTACATATGTTTTATTGTTCAAATGGTTTTTGACCTTGGTATAATTATATATTTCATTGCACTCTGTAAATTAGTTAACTCTACTCAATTATAGATGTTTCTTATTTTGGATCACCATTCAGCCAAAACATCGCATAATGCCTATTACTGGTTATTTCTTTAATAATGTTTACTATTTTAAAATTATCATAGTTGACATACATATATGTTTTCAATAAGCTTAATAAGAGCAGTTGGAAAATTGGTTAATAACTCTCCAGTGATAAGTGTGATCATTGAAATATTCATGTAGATCCTTCACGGATCATTAACATCTTATCAGGAGCGGCTTTAAACCTAAAGCTTTCTCAGTGTTTGATCTATAAAACGTTTTACACGCGTGCTGGCCACATTGGTGTAGACGCCCGGATAGGCAGCGCGCCCACAACCGAATCCCCAGGAAACAATGCCGCAGACCTCACCGCGATAGACCAATGGACCACCCGAGTCGCCGGAGCAGGAGTCCTTTATGCCACGCACACCGGCACAAATCATGGAATCAGTGAGCTGTGCCTGGCCAGCGTAAGCCTGTTGGCACTCTACATAGGGAAGTACACGGATGACAGCTGTGCGCACCTGGGCCGCTGGCTTGCGACTGCTCTCATATTCCACACCCCAGCCGCTAATCCGAACGTAGTTATTAGCTACCGCTGCTGATTGGCAGGGTGTAATCGTGGCCACTTGACCAGCTGTGAGCGGCACAGGCAGCTCCAGCTGCAGCATAGCCACATCCATATCGAAGTTGCTAGGGGAGTAGGTTGAAGCAATGTGAAATCGAGCAATATTACGGATCACGGGTGCCTTTTGCGCCAGTCGACTGGCGCCCGCATGTACAGTGTAATCTTGCTCCCTGGCGCCATAGACACAATGTGCAGCACTTAGCACAAAGCTAGGCGTGAGCAGGGAACCACCACAGATAAAGCTGCCGCCTTGCCGCATATACACCAAATACGGCACCTGACTGATGCCTGTCTCCTGGCCACCAATAATCCTTTGTCCATCGGCAGCGTGCAGCAACCAGAACAACCAACATAACTCTAGCCAACACATGGCGTGTCCAGACTCAGACATCAACTGAACAGTGTGTGCAGAGTGCACCACTTCACTTTCAGATCATTCTATTGAATACACCATAACAATATAAATTGATATGCGTCGAAATTTTTCAATGGATTCCACCTGGACAATGCCAACTTATTGTGCGCTCTTTACAATAAGATAATTACGATTGCAATAGCAATAGAAGTTCTCGCTTAAATCAATTCAAAGGCAAACTCATAGAAAAATAATAGTTTTTTAATGTAAAATACTTTAAAAATTCAGATCTTGTCCAAGCAGTTTGTCTCTATGAAGCTTTGAAGGAACCACATCATTGATGAACTGCTAAAGCGTGTGTAGACGCCAGGTAGCCCGCTGCCACAGTCTTTGCCCCAGGATACTACACCCACAACACGACCTCCATACAGAATGGGACTTCCGGAATCGCCACGGCAGGCATCAATCTTATTTTCACCCAAAGCACAGAACATATTTTTCGTTATTGGACTTATAAAGCTCATCAGGCGATTGCATTGATCTCGCCGCACCAGACTGACATCGGCTGATTGCAAGCATTGCCCCCAATTTTGAACCTCGTTGTTGGTCATGCCCCAGCCAACAATTCTCATACGTGCATCTTCCGGCGGATCGTTGAAATCAACGGCAACGGTGTTTATAATATCTGACGTGTTAAATGGCTGACGCAGCTTGATGACTGCCAGATCCGCATCGAAATTCATTGGCTTATATTCTGGAGATATACAAGCATACCAGGCCTGACGTACATTCGAATCTGGAATTGAATCATTTAGGCAGTCTTGTTGGGCATTTACATATAAATCATCGACATTTTGCACACTATCTTCCAGACAATGTGCGGCTGTGACCACACAGCTGGGCGCAATGAGAACACCGCCGCATTTAAATTTCGGACCTCGTCGCAAATTCACCAGAAATGGGTAGTTCCGAACAGGCTCCGTTACTCCACCAAAGATTTTGAGCTCCTGGCTAAGTGCGCCAGCTAATAGCTGGAGCAACGTTAGCCATGTTATGAGTTTTAGCCACATATTCCAAAATCACGCACTAAATGGAAAATTGTCATCCACATTTGAAAATGTTTTTTTTTTTTTTTTTGTTGTAAGAAAATTTGCTTAAAGCTAAATCCTAAATGTTTTGACACTTGTTTAAACGCCAGAATAGTTCATAGACGGCTGGGTCACCCGAATCGCCTTCGCAGCTACAGACCATGGTTGGGCAAAGGCTGCGGGTATAAAAACTTTGATCACGGTTCTTCGAGCAACAGTTGCAGTTGTCATGCGAAAACGGGCCAGATGACGGACTATAGGGATTTTTGCTCCAGTCAATGGATTCCATCTAGATAATGCAATCTTTTTGTGCGATCTTTACAATGAGATAATTACGATTGCAATCGCAACTAACTCAATTGGAGCTAGAGAAATAGTAGGTTTTAATGTAAATTATTTCGATAGATCAGAACTTATACTAGCAGTGTGTATCCATGAACCTTTTAAGGAACCACGACATTGCTGAGCTGCCAAAGCGTGTGTAGACGCCAGGTAGCCCGCTGCCACATCCCTCACCCCAGGATACTACACCCACAGGGCGACCAGCATACAGAATGGGACTTCCGGAATCGCCTTGGCAGGCATCGGTAGCATTTGGACCCAGAGCACAGAGCATATTATTCGTTATTGGGCCATACGAGTTCATCTGGCGTTGGCATTGGTCTCGCCTCACCAGGCTGACGTTGGCTGTTTGCAGGCATTGCCCCCAATTCTGACCCCCACTACCGGTCATGCCCCAGCCAAGAATCCTTAGATTCGCCCCTTCCGGCAGGTCGTTGAAGTCAATGGGAACGGTGCTCACATTGCCCGCTGTGTAGAACGGCTGACGCAGCTTGATGATTGCCACATCCGCATCGAATGTATATCCATTATACTGTGGAGCTACACAAGCAAACCAGGCTTGACGGACATGCGCTTCTGGACTTGAATCACTTAGGCAGTCTTGCTGGGCATGTACGTATAAGTCCTCGACATATTGCGGATGACCCTCCAGACAATGAGCGGCTGTGACCACACAGCTAGGCGCAATGAGAGCGCCGCCACATCTAAAATACGGACCTCGTCGCAAATTCACCATAAATGGATAATTCCGAATCGTCTCCGTTTGTCCACCAAAGATTTTGTCCTGCTGGCTAGGCGCGCCAGCTAGCAGCTGGAGCAACGTTAGCCAGGTTACGAGTTTTAGCCACATTTTCCTAAAGCACGCACGAAATGAGCGCTTATATAGCCAACAGACAGACATTCCCCAGCTAATTGACTGGTGATAAGCGTAATCTTGAACTAATTTATTATGTCTAGAATGCAACCAGCTAAAAGTTAGGAATACTCTGCCATGGTGGCCATAAACCATCTTCTTATCGTTGGTACGTTGGTGTAGACGCCAGGCAAGCGACTGGCGCATTGGAAACCAAAGGAGACTATGCCAACCAGCTCACCTTGGTAGACCATCGGGCCGCCGGAGTCACCGTCACAGGAGTCCCTTTTATAAGGCTTCGCTGCGCAGATCATGTTACGGCTGATGAATTGCTTGCCACGGTAGGCCGCTCGGCAGGCTGCATGCGACCAGACGGGCATGATGACACTGTGTACATGGCGTGCCGTTTCCGAGGATTTGGGATTGACCGCACCCCAGCCGGAGACTTTGACCAGGCGGCCTGGTGGCACTGGCCGAGTGGCCAATGCAATCGTGTCCACTTGCCCACCACTCATGTCCTCGTTGAGATACAAGGCGGCCACGTCCATGTTCATTGTCTTACTGTTGAATTTCGGGTGTATCACGATCAGATCGATCAAGCGCTGAATGGCGTTTTGAGCACCCTGCTCCGATGTGCCGCCATAGACTCGCAACTCAGCTATGCGCACTCTGTCCACACAATGAGCAGCAGTGATGACCCATCGTGTGGTGATCAGCGAGCCGCCACAAATCTCTTTAGCCGACGACACTTGCACCAGATACTTGAGATCCCTTATGTCTGAGACGTAGCCGCCAATGATGCGAGGCTGGATGTCTGATGATGTGTGATTTGCCTCGAGCGACCAAACACTGGCCAAGAGCAGTGGCAAAAACTGTGATCCAATCATGTTCTATATAAGGAGGAACTAACCAACTACATTTGAGGCAGTGGGCCAAGTGCTTTTATACCTTTTGGGCTGCGCTATCAACAAATCTGGAATCCGAAATCTGAAACATATATCAACATTTGCACAATTGTTTCCACCCATAGGGCGGCTGCTCATTGTTGACTTTAAATAATGTTATTAGCTATAGAGTGGATTACTTAAGAGTGTTGAGTGTTCTCTACTCGAAGAGCTAACAGCATTTTAGACTCTATACTCTCTTTCTATTACTCTTAAAGACGGAAACTGTACAAAGTGAGGAAACTTAATGGAAAAGTTATCTCAAAACGCCGTCTGTATGTACAGATATATTTCCTTGTTCAATTTAATTACTTGAAATGATTCTGTTAATCCATCTACGCAAGTTGCCCACTCGGGTATAGACACCGGGATATTCAGGTCTGGCACAGCCCGTGCCGAAGGAGACAATGCCCATCAGCCTATTGTTTTGCACGGCACCGCCGCCCGAGTCGCCGCTGCAGGAATCTCTGCCCCTGGCCTGTGCACAGAACATCCTTTTAGTTATGGTGGTCGTCGCTCCTTGATAGGCCAGTCGGCAAGCGCTCTGCTTGACCACTATCAGCTGAACCGATCTTAGTTGTGTGACCGAAGTGCCGCCCTCCCTGGTGGCGCCCCATCCACCGATTCTCACCCTTGTGCCCGGTCGTGGCACTCGCTGACCCAATGCAATGGTTCTAATATTCGTGCCCGTCATCGTCTCGTTTAGCTTCATCAGTGCGGCATCCATATTCAAGCCTTTTCTGGTGTAGAGGGGCGCCACGCTGGTGAAGGTGACAGTGCGTCCTACGCCATCCGTTCCATTCATCGTGGATGTGCCGCCGACTACATAAAATTCGGAGGCATCAATGCCCGATACGCAGTGGGCGGCAGTCAGGACCCATTCGGGCCTAATCAATGAGCCGCCGCACAAGCTTTCCCCACGATGTATTTGCACCAGATATGGCATCGTGGCTATGGATGCAGTGGGGCCGCCTAAAATCCGCGCCCTGCCACCGCCAACAATGCGAGCTGAAGCTCTATTCCGATTCCTTCTGTTTGCCCGGTTCCTTCGGTTTGCACGGCTCCTCCTGTTTAAACGATTCCTTCTATTTCTATTGCTATTATTCAATCTTCTCCAGCGGTTCGCTCTCCTTCGGCGATTGTTGAGGGGATTCCAATTGCCGTTGCCGCTGCCATTGCTGTTGTTGACGATGCGAGGCTGAAGACGGTTACGTCTAATGGATGCAGTGTCCGTATTACTGGCGATTCGAGGCTCGATCTGATTCCTGGCACGGGCAAGCCCTGTATTGCGGTTTCTCTGATTGCGGCTACGACGCTGTGCCGCCGCTAGTCGATCCAGCAGCAGCAGAATAAAGACCAAGTATAACCAGCGCAACCGCATCTCGATGTGAAATGTACGCGAATTTACCTTGGCCCGTCTTTTATGCCCTGGCCAACAGCACACGCCAAACGGGCCGTACAACTGTGTAAATAGTTGGATAAGAAAAGAGAGTTTGGCTTTGCAACGGGTTGATTGAGCCAGATGGGCCTTGTGTCTTGCGCGCATGATGACGCGATCCGCTACTCTAACACAATGTATGAAACGCCTATGTTGAAAACAACAACATATAAAAGTAAAACAATCAGGGCTGATGGCTGCAAAGCTTCTACTTTATTTTTATACTCATTCGTTGTAATACTTAAAGGCGTAATCCTAAAACTCGAACAGATATCAGTGGCAATATCTGAGCATATTGTGGACTATCCAGTCGTATAGGTGCGCCACGCTTGTGTACACACCTGGACTGTCCTCGTGGGCACAGCGATTGGCCTTGCCCCAGGAGACGATGCCCGCCAGCTGGCCATCCATGTCGACCGCCGGCCCGCCGGAGTCCGCATTGCACGCGTCCTTATAGCCAGCCACCGAGGCGCAGTACATGCTATCCGTTATATTCCTGTAGCCCTGATAGAGCTGCTGGCACTTGAGGCGGGGCAGCACCTTCACCTGCACACTGTGCAGCTGATTGGGCAGCTGGAGTGAACGCTCATCGGTCAGTCCCCAGCCTGAGACACGCACATAGCTGCCCGGACGCGGCGGCTGCCTGGCCAGCTGGATGGGCTCAATGTGCTCACCGTGCAGTGGATTCTGCAGCTGCAGCAGTGCCACATCCTGGTCAAAAGTGGTTAAATTATAGCCACGGGGCATCAGAATACGATTCACGGCGCGTCCATTGCTCATATCTGTCAAATAGGTCACGCCGCCACGCACCACGTAATCCGACGGTCTGTGCTGCTTCGACTGCAGGCAGTGGGCGGCGGTCAAGACGCAGCGTGGAGTCACCAAAGATCCACCGCACTGAAAGCCGCCACGATGTCTGATATTCACCATATGCGGCTGCGAATTCACCTCGATGCGTTGCCCGCCCACCACGCGTGGTTCACGCCTGCGCTCAGCTGCCGTCGGCCTAAGAGCCCAGCAGCTCTCCAATAGAAGCAGCACCAAGACAATATGCATCTTCAGCTTGTAACGAAGGCTATGAATCAACTGTCGCACGCGACGCACCTATCCGCCCTTTATATGGACTTGGTGTGGCTGGGAAAACCATATGAAAAGGTCGAGAGGCTGCGTTACTTACCTTACCCAACATCGTGTTCACATTACAGCTGCAGGTAAAACACCTGTGCCCGCTGTTTACATACAACACCATTGAACTTGGCCAGCTACACCATCGACTATTGAGTTTTATGTACCCATTGAAAAATTGCTAAAGGGGTATACTGTTTATCTATAAATTAAATAAAATTTGTCTATTATTATTTATTATAGATTTTTTTATTTACTATATTTTTTATTAACTATTAAATATTGAT